TCCCGTCGTCATATACGCTAAGACACGCCCGCGGGTACGGCCGGTCGGCTCTTCGCAATTGGCTCTTTCAGGTGTCCAAAGACGGCAATAATTGGACGACACTATACACACATAGCGACGATTGTTCACTGAACGAACCGGGCTCTACCGCCTCTTGGAATCTAACGGTTCCCGGCGATGAGAAACAAGGTTTGTATTTCATTCATTGGGATCAGAATCCAAACGATTATTGAATCGGTAATTTGTATGTCTTTTTGATGGTTAGGTTGGCGTCACATTCGCGTACAACAGTCTGGAAAGAACGCCTCCGGACAGACCCACTATCTATCGTTGTCTGGTTTCGAGATCTACGGCACAGTCACCGGAGTGTGCGATGATTTGGGCCGCGCGGCCAAAGAGGCCGAAGCGAATCTGCGCCGTCAGCGGCGACACGTTCGGCAACAGCTCAGGCATATGGTGGTGAACGCACGAGTGACCAGAGGTCCCGATTGGAAGTGGCGCGACCAGGACGGGGCGCCCATTGGCGAAGGTATGCTTCCGTTATATACAGTTGTGATTGTTATTCATTTAATGATAACTGTTTTGTTGTGATTATAGGTTTAATTACGGGTGAATTGCATAACGGGTGGATTGATGTGCAGTGGGATCACGGGGGCAGCAATTCCTACAGAATGGGCGCAGAAGGCAAGTACGACCTGCGTCTGGCGCCCAACTTTGATCCCGATATGGTCGTGAAGTCCGCAACATTGCCCACATTAACCACATTAACTCAACAGCTATCGCCGACCATCGCTCCGGTGGCCATAACAAACACTACTGACACTATAGCGGCCAAGGGGTTGGTCTCGACGCCCAACACTATGTTTCCCGGTATGTGTTCGCCGACTGTTTGTTTCACATATTAATTAATTTTTTCCTAATCTATAACTAATTATTATTTTTAAATGCTGTGTCGCTATCGCAGGTCGCAAATCGAGCTCCACCTCCAGTTTACTGGAGCCGTCCTCGTCATCGAACAGCCGCATAACCGTCGCGTGCACTGAACAGGCCTCGTCTGCCGACTCGCTGGTCGCCCGCAAGGCTATGATCGCCGGCAGTCTCACGCGTTCGGCCGGCGACTCATCGCTATGCGATCGCAAGAGCAACGAGAATGTGG